GTTCTGCTGACGCCAAGAGACGTGGGAGAGTTTCCTAGCGCCACTCGGAAGCGTTCTATAGCGTCGCATACCTGTATATCACATCACATCAAATGAACTTATTGCTCAACAACTGTAACTGGTACAGAGAAAAAACAACAAGGATAGATACACTAACTAATACTAACATATAATTCTAACAGAGCTAGTCCGTAGTGATACTAAAGCTAATCTATTGTGTTTTCTTAATATTATTATTACATTCTGTAATTCAGGAGATATGTCAGTAATTTACAATATGGTGTCGCTTTTGCAGTGATTCAGATATGAATTTTCCAACGTACACTGATATCAGAGTAGGACATAAAAGGAGCATATTGAGGATATCTGGTTTTGAATGGGGTAGCGTAACACTTAGCGGGCTATCTATTGTCGGGAGCAAGTGGTTTGTAAGAGTTGAACACTTGATAACTTCCCTCCATGTTCTGCTCTGTCCCCGGCCTTGGGTGGACACGTGAGGAACAATAGCGACCCTGGCATTACTGTTACTAACAACAGAACATGAACACAACAACGTCGGCATGAGCGCACAGATCACTAACTACTGAGAAATGTAGCCTCCGTAGCAGGCTCATAGAACTGCGGGTTTGGTGGCCTTCGGTTGTTTTCTGATATAAGCTCAGTTCTAAGAACGGGGGTAGTTCAACCAGGCCGGCTATGTTGTCTATATGCAATCAGAAAATAGCACATCAAAGCTCCCAAAGACCCTGAAGTTTTTTGGCATGCTATGGAGGCTAAAGCCATGCGGGCAGGTACCGGGGGGAAGCCCGTCTGTTGTCGCCCGGGCCGCCGCCGGCAGACCCCGCAGGTTCGCTCCCCGACACCCGAGCCCTTATCTCCCCCTACAACAAGCAACGTAAACTACACCCCAGTATCAACTTCCCGCCTGCTGCTTTCGGTTCTGCCAAGCCCGACAGGAAACAATCGGAATTAAGGTCTTTACTTAGTTTGTTCTTTAGCCGAGTTAAGACCTTCTCGGTCGATAAGATGCCGGAGTTTCAGGGAGATTTTCCTCCTTAATGGAACCCGGGAGGTTCTATTGGAACTCGGGAGGTTCTATTGGAACTCGGGAGGTTCTAATGGAACCGGGGATGTTCTATTGGAACCAACTTACCAAGAATGTTCTATTCTTCTATTAGAACTCCGGACGTTCTATTGGAACTCGGGAGGTTCTGGAGTCAGGAATATTTCCGTCTATTTCCTGACGCAAGCTAGAAGAAGTTTTTTTGTCGCTAAATTCCCTCCTATATGTTGTGATTTGTGCCCTTTTCTTTGATAGGAACTTACAAAATGGTTCTGTATGAACTACATGCCTCCGGCTTTTCCGCTTCAATCTAACCTGAAGTCATTGTCAACGACGTTCAAGTTGTTGTCAACTTTTCAAAAAGTGCTCTTGATGAAGTATGGAGGCGACAACATGTAAATTGTCGGTACAAGTACCAATTATGATGTGATTATCCAAACACCCGTCACGCTACTCAAAACAACATGTTTTAGCGATTAGCGCAGAAACAACACACAGGCCGGGGGCGAGGACTCCGCAATTTGACGAGCGAATGAAAGGACCTTCCTGCCTGAACTGCCTGCTTACATGTCTCTGTAGCAGCAATACAGGACGTATTCAAACGAGATCAAACAATAAGTATCCGTAGGACTAAACAGTATTGTTAGCAGGGACGGACTTCCGACTTACCAAAATATGTCGCCACTGTTATGTGACGAATGTAACTTTTAGGATCTGTGCAATTTGGGGCGACGCTGATCTCTTATTAATGAGGCTGATACAGAATTTGTGACTGAAGTTAAGGTTCACGATGTGCAGGTATTAAGATTTTCTGGACTCCGTATTATTAGGTGTTTCTGCCCGCTGATATAATGAGTTGTTGATGTTGAGATTTATTATTTCCAGTTCCCGGACGCTGCTAATAATGTGGTGTTGTTGAGATTTTCCCTACCCCTGTGCAGAATGGGCTTTACTTTACTCCCACCCAGCCTTCAGACGTTGTTTCCCTGCTCCTGTTAGGACCTGTACAGATGAGTTTTGCTCTCGGACGTTCCTAGGTCTTGAATTGCCCCTGTGTTCCTGGCCTAATAAGAAGTTGTGATGTGTTGCTGCTGAGTGTTTCCCCACTCCTGTACAGCTAGAACAGGCTTTACTATCAGGTCCAACTCTCGGACGTTCCTGGCCTAATAATACGTTGTGATGAGGCGCGCTGTTCAGTGTTTCCCTTCCCCTGTGCCTAGGACGTTCCTGTCCGTTTTGCTGGCCTAATAAGACGCCGTGATGAGGCGTTGTTGAGCGTTTCCCTGCTCCTGTACAGCCAGAACAGGCTTTACTCCCAGGTCCAACTCTCGGACGTTCCTGGCCCCGTGTGGCTGGCCTAATAATACTGTGTGATGTGGTGCTGTTGAGTGTTTCCTTACTCATGTAGACCTGTACAGAACGAGTTTTGCTCTCGGACGTTCCTGGCCTAATAATACTGTGTGATGAGGCGTTGTTGAGTGTTTCCCTGGCCCTGTACAACTAGAAAGGCTTTACTCCCAGGCCCAACTCTCGGACGTTCCAGGCCTAATAATACTGTGTGATGAGTTGCTGTTGAGTGACGCCAGGCCCGGCCCCTGACAGCCCATCTGTGGCCTGGCGTCACGCTGACCGGCCCACCAGGCTCCGGCCGCCGGGATGGAGCCGCTATCAGCCCCGGCGCGCGGCCGGCCGAACCTGACACCCGAAGTCTGCGGCGGGGAGGGTAAGGAGGTTCCGCTCCGCCGCCTGACGGCTTAGAGACGCCCCCCCC